CAAACAAAAATAGATATTAACAAGACACTATTAAAATAAACAAACAAAAATAGAAATTAAGAAGAAATGCAGTAATCGTAGTGAAAATTTTCATAATTATGCATCAATCGCTTGCAACTTACACATTGGATCCAGCCTTCTTCATTTTTACTCTCACTAAAATTTTATCCATAAAAAAGCATTCAGGATTTCTGTTATTTTCAGATGCGCTAGAATTCATATCTTTTTCAATATTGGCAGCAGATTTTTTTTGTTTTTAGTTTTCCCTATTTTTCTCTATATATTAGGACCTTTTTTAATTTCTTTTGATCGTTTTTATTCCAATGAATTTTTTAATTCTGTTTTTTAAGGAGTTTTACCAGTTTTTTGCTTTTTGAAAGTCTGTTGTGGTTTCTTAGTTACTTTGGAATAAGGTAGAATTATTTCCGGAGAGAAGTACAGGGTCTCAGTCGAAACTTCTTCTTGGCCTTTTGACATGAAGGTTGAGGGAGTCTCCTCTTTTGACATTTCCAATGGTCTAGGTGGTGTTGCAGGTAGCACTTATTGTTGAATCTCATCTACGCTATCATTTTTATTGAGATGTGAAACAGTTTCCGCAACTTTTCCAATAATATTGGAACGTGCACCTCTGGAACATCAGTAGGTTGTGCAGCAGAAAACATATCGTAGGTGAACACGTTACGATCAACTGGATGTATATCTGTCTTTCTAAAACCATTAATTGTGTTTGTAGGAGTGCTAGCACGTAAATAAGCTTTATCAAATATTTGCTACCTAAACCTATAAGTGAATCTTTTCTTATTCTGCTTTTTCCTTTTACACGACGACGTTCTAAAGTACTCTTTGGTGCGTGGCAAAGTTTTGCCGCTTTAAGATAATCATATTCTCGATTTAAAACCATGTTTATTGCTTTTTTTCATTTTCTCCTCAGGCCACTCCTGTCGGTGTGTTTTTCTTAAGTACCCACCCGCTATATTGTGTATGTATTATTACTGCAACAAAGAAAAATCAAGTAAATAATATCATCAAGATAGTCTAGGTAAAATGGGATGTCTTTAATTGTCTCATTTTAAACAAATGCCACATATCTTGTTTTATCTATACCTCAACCTTTAACTTGCGTACATTTTACAAACTTATCTTTAAAATATTATATTGATGAAATTCCATGCCTACATCAGTGTTCAAGATCTTATCTTCGCCTTTAAAAATTATCAATACATTTTCTTCACAAATAATGAAGCAATCCTTACTATTATGAGTTAATAATATTACATTAAAATATCGAATAAACATAAAAACTTACGTGTGTCAACAATCACATTCACTATGAAACCAAAAGTTCGTTAGCAAGTTTAAAATCTACAGCTTGCGCTTGTGCATTATTTCGCTAGATGGCAACAATCGTTGCACATTAAATTTACGCAAATTTCGCAAGAGTGGATATATAATGATTTTTTGATTAAATTTTGAGTGGTCACATTTAGCTCCCTGTAGTCACATTCAGAAATCGTTATTGCCCCAACTGATTGTTTTGAAATATATTTAATTTTTATTAAGCGGGAACTTGTTTTCCTAAGGGAAAAACGAATCCCGGGATTCCTTTCCAGTGTGTGCCCCACTGCAGCTAGTGCCCACGAGTCGCCACTGAGTAACTATACATTGTTTTATGAATGTTGTACTTTTATTAAAAAACGATTATTGCCATTGATTTGACCTAAATAAATTTTTTTTTATTTTTTCAAAATTGCTTTAAATGTTTGGTTATGGTGTGAGAAATAAAAAAAAAAACCTTGTCTCATAGAAATTTACCATTCAGATAAACATTCTTCTCTGATAATTATAGTAAGTACTCAATACTTGTGGTGTGTTTATAGAGCTTGATTTAGTTTTAAGCATAATCATTATCATAAACTTAGATTAAAATGTACTGATTTATCTTTTATGTTAACGTTTATGTATAGGTATACTTAAAACTAAATTAAGCTGTATAAACTCACAGTTATTCTGTTGTATTTTTTAAATGCAAACTCCCCTACATAAGTAAATATTAATTGTATTATAAATATATCAATAACAGGGTGTTTTATAAAATATTAAATTTTAAAAAGTATTTAAATGTGCTTTGAAATGGTCAAATCAGAACCTTTATCAAATCGCTTCTGTAAAACCAGCTCAACAAGAAAGCTTTTATATTTAGATGGGGGCATTGATGATAATTCCTTTCAATTATTAGATGAAGAAAGCATAAGGTCATTAGCCTCGTGTTCTGTGTATGCTTTGTTACTGTTTCCCAGCGCCACTTTAGGAACAGAACTGTTAATTAGAACCCAACAGTGAATGGTCGAGTGGGGAATCAGAATTAATTTTAAATAATTAAATTGAATAAAAAAATCCCGGCCAACGGTGGGATTCGAACCTGGGACCCTTGGATCCACAGGCAGAGACTCTAACACTGAGCCACCCACCCATTCATAAGGCATCTTATTCCAAAAATTAGTCCACGTTTAAATTTTAAGAAAACATTCAAGGAATTTTTTATAACCAAAGAAAATACCATTGTTTTATTATCAAAATTTGACATTTATATCTCAGTGGTTTTCGAGTACACTTCCGTTCCCGGATTAAAAATAAACCGACCACACTCTGTAAATGTTTCTTGTTGTATGTTAAAAAAAAATTATAACATTTTAGCTCTAAGTGAATCTTGCATGTTAAAGGGGCGTAAGTATAATGCTATTTTTACGAAGAATACGCCCGTTTAGCATAGAACGACAGGAGCGTATTTTTATGGAAATACGCCCGTTCAGCATGAAACGATTCAATTGTATTTTATATTTTATACCTGCTAAGCTGGTTTCAAAATAAAAAGTTTTTCTTTACTTTTTTTATTTTGTCAATCCTTTTAAGAAAAATTCACCGAAGATTTTCCAGAGCAAAAAATTAAGCAAAAGAGTTCGAGTTCATGAGAAAAATGTTTACCTTTGTTAAACCTGTTTCAGCCTTTAATATGAATTTTATTTTGGTAAAACATTTTTACCATGATAGTAAGACGTTATTACTATAACAGTAAACTCGTTTTACTGTAGTAGTAACATATTATTACTGTAACTGTACAACAATTTTACTATAGTGGCAAAATATTATTACTATAGCAATGCAATAGTTTTGCTAAATTGGTAAGATATTATTACTGTAACAGTAATACCGTTTTACTGTAGTAGTAAGATAATATTACTGTTACAGTACAGCAGTTTTACTAGAGTGATAAGATATTATTTCTCTAACAGTGAAATCGTTTTTCTAGAGTAGTAAGAAATTATTACTGCAGCATTGTAGCACGTTTACCAAACCAGTAACACAGTATTACTGCAGCATTACAACTAGATGTTACGTATGGTAATCTTAGATATTGGTGGTAGTTATACAATTTTACTGTACCCGTAAGGAAAATCTACTACCTCTGTAATAATATTTGACCAGAGCTGTAACATATTTTTACTACCGCAGTCAAATAAATTCTTAGTAATCTAAATATTAGTAAATCTTGTATTACAGTCACGGTAAAATCTTCTAGCTGATGCATATTTAATTAACTTTTTCTTACTGCCACGGTAAGAATTTTTTTTCGGTGAAATATTTCTCGTTACTACCGGAATATTTCAGGAGGAATCTTGAGTCCATTTTTGTTTATTTAATCTAGAGATGATTTAAAAAAATGTCTTTTGATGGATAGTCGCCACCCATGAAGTCGAGACGACTTAAACACTATTTTGCGATATGGCAGATGGACGCACCAGGACGAATTTCGAGTGATGGAAAAGTGTAATCAAAATAGCGACTTAGAGCTAAACTTTGATTTATTTGAAGTCAATAATTTTATATTTAAAGCTTGACGGAATGAAAACGTTTCTATATTGTTTAAATGATGCTATTTTTAAAAAATGGCCCTTATTCTCACCAAAACTGACTAGCTTCACTAGCTAGATTTTTGACATATGACGTAAAAGAGTAATGCATATTATCTTCTTATTCTATATCAATGTCACCACCACATGCGACGGAAAATTTATCATCTTGAGTACCCTTTGTCTTGTTTTGTGTCGCATGGTGTAGCGAAGTCTCTAATTATTGCAGCTGTTCAATAGTTTTCCACCAATAAAATTGCATGACATCATAAATTTCTTGTTAATCGCTCGTTATTATAGCGATATTATAAGTTCTAGGCCAGCAGTGGGATTCTCATCTCTTAATACAGCATACCTATGTCAAGACGCCTATTATCGTTCGACAGACTGCGATTCTTATGTAATGTCTCTGTATATTCAACACGTTCTGATATGATGAATGTACATTTTTAAAGGAGTTATATTTTTTTATTTTTCTTAATGCAAAAACGCATAGTGTGTTTTGAACAAAACTTAATATATTATTTATCAGAAAATTAAAATAGCGTGCAGCAATATGTAATAATACTGTTGCTATACCCTTATTATACCATTATAACATACAAAAATAAATGTTTTAAATCAATTTTATGGTTTTTAGATTTAGGTATCTAGATCATTACTTCATTTTTAGCCCTTAACTTCAGCGCAGTCGATAAAATGACGAATGCATGTACTTTATTATTATCGAAACGGAATATTACTTGCAAAAATTGCCTTATACATATAATAAATAACATGTTCCAAAAAATTATTAAATAAAATCACTCCTACTGTCGTACTGGGTGTTTTACTTGTTATTTCACTTAGTATATTAAGATTGAGAATAACCTTACAAATAATTATTGAGTTGTTACTTTACTGTGAATTAATGGCGTAGTATTATCTTTAGAAGTGTCTAAACTTTTTGATATATTACAATAAACATAAAGAAACTTTTAATGCCTCTTTATTTACATTAACTGAATAAACTTTAATGTGGTAGAGGAATCGATAATTTGATGTACGCTTGATAAAGACTATATATTTATGCACATTTCTCAGAATTAAATTATGACTTTAAGAACGTTATTAATAGCTATTTGTGTTACCATCGGTAAGTTGAATTAAGAAAATTTCTGCTTAAAACCCTCCCTAAACGTTAGAGAAGGTTTTTGATGTTACTACTTATATATGTTAGTATTTAACAGTTAAAGAGAGTGTATATACTTACACCCCCATACATTCCCTTCAATATACTTCTTTCCTACATTTATTATTTTCGGGAGAATGATATGGATGGACAGGAAAAGCTGCAAAATTGGATGGGTTGGATTTATTGGCTGAAACACTGGCTGCGTAATTTAAGGACAGGAAATTTCTTCTTAGCTCTAGAGATGGTTCACTTGCGAGATTTTGAAGGCTTTCAGTTGAGAGCTAGTTTTGACTACTTATAATGATCCATAATAAATTGAGCCATAATCTATTTTGCCTTTGCTTATTGTTTGGTATATTTGAATAAAATTTCTCTCAATCTTTGATTTGAGAGAATTTATTCTGTGTTGACACGCTTTTATTAAGTTATTGATATGTTGGTTCCATTTCAGTTGTGAATAAAAAGTCATGCACAAGAATGTTCCTGAATTCACTTGTTTTAGATCAATGTTATTCAAGTGAATGTCAACTTTAAGCTTTTTTCTTTTTGTTAAATTTGATATCTTTTGATTTTTCTTCGAAGAACATGAAGCCTGTAATTTTTGACCAATTTTTTTAAATTATTTTCAATTTCTGAATAATTTACTTGTCATAACTATATTTGTGCTCTTTGTATAGATTACTAAGTCATCTTCGAATAGTAATGCTTTCATGGGAAGCTTACCAGAGCATTGCATTATACACTTTGTTTACCTCCATGACGTCATGTTACCAAAGCTTCTAACTACTTCTAACAATGGTGGTTAAGTGGTAAGATGCACATATAAACGTACCAAGCATGTGGAAAGAATTGTGAAGAGATATGTTTTACTGTCGATAGGATTTGTTTTATTTGTTTGGACATTTTGTACTTACTATGAAAAAATTAAATTTGAAATACAATGCAATGAAAACTGAAAAAACTTTTTATGAGAGCCATAGTGTTGCTGGTTATTGTTAACTTTGTTGTTTAATTTTAAAGCACTAGAAATAATCTTAATCCAAACATAAATTTATCCAATTTTCATAAAATAAAAGACTACAGATATTTTCATCTTCTTCCAAAATTAGGGATGCCCACTGGATCGTTATTATTTCATCACAAAATAATATATAATAAATAATAAATAACAAAATCAAACTATATTATGCCAAGATTTCTTATAGTTTAAATTTGGTTTAGAAAATATGTTCATTCGCTAAAATACTTAATTATTTACGCTTGCGTACTAGACACTACTCTGTCAACATTATTACGCATTGTTTCAAGATATTCGATAAGGTATTTTTGTTAGATTCTTCTAATTTCCTTCTTTTTCTCCATATTTAACATTTGTGCTAATAAAAGAGCATTTAGTGACCGCACAGTTGGCTACTACCTCTCTGTGTACTACCGTCTCCAAACCGTTTGTTACCGGCTCTAATGTGAAGTACAGTTGTACATCCAACTGAGTCCGCCCATTATAAGGACCACCACAATGGTATAACGTACCATCTTTTTAGTGGTTGCCCGAAGAGTAACTTTATCAACCGGTTCCTCTCGTTCTCCGTGCCCTTTACTGTACTGGCATTCTCGTTCTAAACAGGGTTTACCTGGAGAGAATGTATGCGTTGCTATGAAGACCGATGCTCTACTTCCTGGTTATTGCTAAGGGACCTGAGCCAAATAAAGCCCACGAGTCCAATAAGGCCCACTTATGATATTGGCAACACTGTACAGTATGTAATGATCGTTGTAATTGAATAACCTTGAAAGGGCATGTCCAAGTATAGACCTGGGGCCCAATTCTCGAAACATGCGTTAACTGCCGCATGCGCTAAGTAACGCATGGTCGTTAACGCATACGACAGCAATTTAGTATTCCTGAACACCATGCGATAATCGCGAATCAAGTCGAACGTGTTAACGAAGAGTATTTGATTATTGCATAGTCTTAACCAATGAGGATTGAGAATACCAAAGATGGTATCACTGAATATGAGATAATTGCATTGACATATGTCAAAATTGCCAAAAATGCAAAAATTATAAAATTAAATGGATTGCAGATGTCTAATAATTTTTGGTTTTTGGATGTTTTAACTGAGATTATTTGTATTTTGGACTTGAGAATTGGAGTGGTTTAGATTTAGAATATTAAAAGTGGAACAGCGTGGTTCACGAATAACGGAAAAACAGCGTGAAACTTTAGTAGAATTTATAACATTGTTTAGTGCCTGTAAAACTCCTATGATAAAGCAGAATTAATTGACAATTATAACAGAGACAACCACATATAAAAGAAAATCAAAGTATGTGGAGACAACCCTCTGATTATAACCTTACTTTCACCTTAACGAATGCGACAAAGTGGTTGTCGAACGGTCATGAGCGCTCTTTGAAAATCAGCATTTTTTAGCGCATGCGTTAATAAATTTGACGAATGCCGCCAGTTCAGGAATACACTTTCATCAAGTCGCATACGTTATCGCATGCGATAAGTTAACGAAGGCGTCAGGAATTGGGCCCCAGGCCGCTTGCGCCGCGTCAACCGCTCTATTTCGCTCAGGGTTGCCAATTTAGCGATTTTGTAGCTAGATCTAGCGACTTCAGAAGGTCTGTTGCGACTTTGTTGAATTTGAGACGTGTCTCAAACCTAGCGTTTTCTCGCCATTATCTAACTATTATCTGGCGACTTTTATATATCAGGAATAATAATGATGATGATGATGATGATAATAATAATGGGTGTAGTAAGTAGGCCATATTCTAGCAATGAAAAATGAGGTGGTTGTACAATCGAAATGTCTATAATTTTAAATTTTGACATTATTGAGAGTTGTAAAATTTTAAATTTTAATTTGAAAATTAGGATAACAATCAAACTGATAGTCATTAAAACGATTAATTTTTATTTAATTTCACATTCAATCTGTGATAATTACCTATGATAAAAAGTAACAATATTAAATAAATTTATTTAAAGAATAAAAATTATTTTGATTTTAGAAGATTTGTAATTTTGTTTTGTTAGATGTTTATTAAAAAATATGCTTGTGTATCAAATAAATATACATGTTATATTTCTTAAACAAGTTCCTATATATTTTGCATCTAACTTTATGATTAAAAAAAATAGTAAAATTTTCTTTTTGTTATCACGCGCAAAAGTCGCCAGATTTTCAAAAAAGTCGCCAGATTTTTAAAAAATTTCGCCTGCGGCGGGCGGTTTTCACGCTAAGCTCGTATTTTTTCTGTCTGGCGATTTCTGGAGATTTTCAACTTGTAAAGTTGAGACTTTCATAAGTCACCATTGGCAACACTGATTTCGCTAGTGTAGCAAGAAACGTAACGAATGCAACATTGGACTATCTATTTTATTAAAAACGTGTTTTTTTTTGGGTCGATATTTTCGAAACAGGTGAGTATGTTAGGTTAAAATTAACTGAAATCATTCGTTGAATATTCTTTTTGAACATATAGTGAAGTTAGAATTACCAAACTTTGAAGAAAAACCAAGTTTTGGATATATTTATTTTATAAAACATGACTTCTTTTGATGCATACTAATAAGGCCCTTTTTGGTGTAGGTATACTAATAAGGCCCGGGCCTTATTAAAACCAGAATGGAAAGATAACCTTCCACAAGGATCCATTCTTATGATGACCGCTAAGGGTAGTATGATGACGGAGGCGTTTGTAGAATATATTAAACACTTTGCGAAATTTAAACCGGAAGGCAAAGTAATGCTCATATTTGATGGTGCTTCATCTCATTTAGACTGTCCCATCGTTCAAGAAGCAGATAAACACAACATAGTTTTGTACTTTCTATCTAGCAACACAACACACTGGCTTCGACCAATGGGCAAATCTGTTTTCAGTCCATTTGAGACATATTGGCATAAAGAAATTTTGAATTTTTGGGTCAACAAACGTAATCGCCGCATTGATAAAGCTACATTTGGAAAAATGTTTACTGCCGTTTGGCCAAAAGCCGCCTCACAAGCAAACGTATTGGCAGGATTTAGAGGTACTGGAATATTTCCCTTCAATCCAAATATAATTCCTGAGACAGCCTTTGCGCCATCAGAGCTGAGCAGAAAAGAAGCAAACAATGACGAAAATACACCTCCAGAAAATATGAACCTAGCTTCTTTGCAACCAAAAATTGTGTTACAACGTCAGGTCATGGAATTAATCACAAATAAGCCAGCAATTTCTGGTCTACAGAAAAATACATACAAAAAGAAAAGATATAAAAGCTCCAGCACTGAAGATAGTTCGAACAGTGAAGATATTTCAATCCATGACACTTCTTCAGACGACCAAAATATAGAAGAAGAAAATAAAGTTGTAGAGTTGGAAGGCACCTTTAAAGATCTGCTTCCAACACCTGAAATAGAACTAAAAAAAATTACACCTCGTAAGAAATCTCTAAATTGTAGGGGTTAGCAAGTAACCAAAAATCTTTTTCCAACAAAAAGATCCAGAGAAAGAATCACAAGAGGAAATCTCTAAAAATAAAATGAAAAAGAAATCAATTAAGAAGGTAGACGAAAAATGGTATTGCCATTTATGCAACGAGGACAGGATTATGAATATGCGTCTGTGCAACATGTGCATGCGATATGTACATGAAGAATGTGTGGGTCTGACCAGAAAAGATAAAATGGATTCCTTCATTTGTCCGACATACTCCGATTAAAGAGGAAAAAAACTTTATCATTATTTTTGAAACTAGCTCTCTTTGTAAATTAGTTTAACGACTTGTTTTTTAGTTTTTATTTGTTACAACAATCTTTATTTGTTCGTTTAAGTATTCAGTATAAAATATATGTTCAAAATATTTTATAATAAATTGTTTTAAAAGACCATTTTGAGCAACTTTCTATAGCACTAAATGAGGGCCTTATTAGTCTCCACATGTGGGCCTTATTGAGAACTATTATTCCTAACAAGGCCCAATGTCACCTTGCATTAAAAAAAATTGTCAACTTTAAAGTAAAAATAAAATTGAAAATACTTGACGAAAACAAATAAATAACAGTTAATTCAAATTAACCCCAAATTATTGAACAAATATTTTACCTTTTTTTTAATTTTTCCGGCCCCCTAAGGTAAGTGGGCCTTATTTGGTACACCCCCCTTAGAAAGCCGACTAGGTATGAGTGATCGGCTTCTCCGGGACGCATAGCTGCTGTAATTATGTCTTGTTGGACTTCGTAACGGGATTCGGCAGATTGATCTACGTGACTTTCTAGCCTCATTCCCTGATCCTTGATTTATAGAACGAGCCCTGCTTCTGCAGGTCCTTTGAAGGTGCCCGATTCTTCCGCAATTAAAGCATCTCCTGCTTCCTTGCATATTTTGCAGGATATTTAAGATTTCTGAGAGGGTAGGTTAGGGAATAGTATTAGTATTGGCCTCCTCACTTTCCTGAGATTTAATTTCTCTCTCTTTCTCTCTTGCTCGAGAAGATCTGGATAGGAGTTTTGTCGCTTCATATTCCTGATTTGTAATCAGTTTCTTCCTCAGCGTCTTGTGACATTGTAGACGAAGAGCTCTATTGAATGCCTGTATTCCGATTTGTTCTTGGAAATCTTTGGGCGCCAGTGGATAGGCCAGATGAATCAATCTTCATATGTCGGCCTTGAGTTCCTGTAGACTCTCATTATGTTTCTGACTACGCACTTTTAGCTTGCTTTGAAATACCTCTTTCAAACGCTGCTTGCCATATCTTGTCTCCAAAGCTTGGACGATAGATGAATAACTGGGTTCCCCTTGAGGGAGTAACTGTAAAACGGTTGCTGCCTGTCCTCGCAGCGACACTATCAATGAAGCCGCCATCTCTTTTTCAGCTCCGCCATTGGCTCTAGCTGCAGCTTTAAATTAAGTCGATACGTTTCCCATGCTGTTTGACCGTCAAACGTGGGTGGCTTAATGGTCTTGCTAGTGTGGCTTTGTGGAACTGGGTTTTGGATAGGCTTGGTACCACATACGTTGATTACTACACGGTGCAAGAGAGAGGTCCGACACGCCCAACATAGGGCGCGGCCATTTTGATTCCTATGCCACAGTTTATAGCTAAAGAATCAGATCGCTCACTCTGCGTCGGCACTTTTGATCTCAATGTTCCAGTTTATACACTGCGCAACTCGAATAATACAATATATGACAACCGCCTATAATAAAACAGCAGTCTTCTGCGTATCCTGAATTTGTATTCCTGGAGTGGATGTTATTTTGGAACTTTCAACTGTTCCGAGTGAGCTAACTGACTCTTTAGCAATAAACTGTGACTCCAAAAATAAAATTCACTGACACAGACAGCAGCAAGCAAAATATCAGGTGCGTTTTAATCATCCGCTTCTGCTTCCGGAATTGTCGATTTAGTCGTTTTAACCTGTCCGATTAACGCCCGTATGCACCGTACACGTTTAATCCAGATCAAGGGTTTAATCGCGTTTAGTACCATTTTTAGCTATGGTACTAAACGCGATTAAACCCTTGATCTGGATTAAACGTGTACGGTGCATACGGGCGTTAAACAAGAAAACCGACAATTCCGAAGCAGAAGCGGATGATTAAAACGCACCTATTAAAAATATTGCGCCAAGATGTAGGCAACACGTAATAAGGGATCAAAATGGCGTAGTTTTCTATCTCCTTTTAAAATGCACTCATTCTCCGTATAGTAAAAGAAAATCAAAGTATGTGCTTGGTACGGGTTATAGATGAGGACGAGGTAGTGTTTGTAGTTTCTCTGTTGCTTACCAAAGCTAGGCTACGAATTCTTCTTTTTAACTTAACTAATTTGCCTTTCTAACTCTACTCTAGCCGTTCCTTGTTGTTTACAATTAGTTTTTAAATTATCTTGTTTTTGTGCTAAGGGATCTATTAGACTGTTCAGCTGACCTACTTCTTCTCTGAAATTTTCTTAAATTTGTAAAAAGCCATTCATAATTTCCACCACTGCTTTTCTACGCCTCTCTTCCTTCTCTTTGTCTTCGTCCTTCCTGGGTCTTTCCTTTTCTTCCACTTCTTCCTCCCTGCATCTTTCCTTCTCCTCTTCTTGATGATGAATTACCCTATGTTATGGTTCTCGAAGGCAATTGAAAAACGAAGAAGATTGTTGCTGTGAGATGTCCCTCCAATAGGAACTGGTGGAGGTAATTCAAATAATTAAATCCTTTTCTAAAATTTCAAATATCTCTGAGTCTTCAATTTTGATGTTCACCGTCTGGTTTCCTAATTACTGTTGCAACAAAATACTGCAAAAACTTTTCTTCTCTGCACTTTACCAAAATATAATCATCCGTTTCATTGGAGGCGTCTAAAAACTCTGGTTCTTTTTCATCATCGTGTCGTTCCTGGTCTAAATCTATATTCTTTGAATCATTATCATTAGTAATGATATCGCTTTCACTGCTGCTACTGTCAGCAATTTTTTTAACCACAACTAATTTTGATTTTTGTCAGTCAATGTTTGTATTTTAATTTTTGATATTCTTGCTTTCGTGTTGTTTAATAATGATTAATAGTTTGGTTTTGAAAATGCTTTTGAATTGAATGCTAATTCTAATGACTTTATTAATTGTGTGGCAGTTAGTGAAAGGAGATTAAACTCACCCTGTACATCGGATGTGTAAATTAAGGTTTAAAAATTTTGATTTTGTCAGTCCTGCTGATCCTGATGCTGCTGGTATTCTCTGATACTGCTGTTAGCTGCTACTCCTTCAGCTGCTTCTGCTGCTTCCGCTGTTAATTAAGCGGTGTGGAATCATAGGTACGGATTCTATCGGGGTCACCAATTATGGGATCTTTTAACTTTGGAGATCCCATCTTATAAATAATATAGCGGTTCGTAAAAGAGTATATATTAATATAATAAAAAGATAATTCCGTCATGACAGAAAATTATATATATGACATTTTTCTTATTTAATAAATAAATATTAATGCTTAGCAACCGAGGTCGTCAAGTAGATAGATAGGGTGCACTTAAATCCTGCCTCCCACTAAGCTGCCTTAATAGGTAATATTGATATGTGTGGCATGGGTGTGACATGTATCAATATATTATGAGTTGGAGTTAATATGTAGTGCTTCCAAGGCGCTACACAATTATTCCAAAGTGTTCGAGGAATCATTATTTTTCAGTATTTACTATATCTTTTTATTAAGATTAGATAAAAAACTACTGCGTTTGCTTGTTGATATCTGATGATGATCACTGCTCCTTGCAGATGCGTTGATGTTAGATGATAAATATCGAAAGATTAATTCTTCTCATAAGAAGTAGTTAATAATGGACTTATCTGTTACATAGGAAGGGAATGAATTCTTAATCATCGAAAATGACTTTGGAGGGATGATTCCGGTTATTTTATTTACCTACTTTACAATAATGAATTAACTGATCATCTCCTCAATGCACTTAGTAAGTAAAAACGAAACATATCTCGAAACGTCTTTATTACACAATACCTACATTTTGATTTTTCGTTGTCAAGCGAAATATTTTTGTTTATAACGCTAAGGTTTCCTCTTTTTTCCATCTCACACAACTTTATTTTTTAGCTACTGGAGATGTATCAACAATTTTATCAGCAATATTAAGTAAACATCTCGTACCAAGATGTTCATACTACCTGCACGAAAATACAAATATATCCACCATTTTGGATAAATCGTTATTATTAGTAAACGTACCATTGATATCAGTAGCAAAAGACCACTATGATGTAATTACAAAACTACAATGTTCACAACATATTATTCTTATGGAAGAAGCTGACTCCTTCGACAAATTAGCACCTAGAGAGACGTTATTAAAAATATTTAAACCTTGGACGAGAATTATATTTATTTTCTCACATCCACCGAATTTATCCAGTTTTTATGAAATCGCAATAAATGAAATGGCTATTCAAATCATAACTATCGAAATATTGAAAATAATTGATGTTAGAAAAGATTTGAAATTAATAGAAGAATATAAAATAACAATTAAGAATTTAAATCGGAATAAGGAGTTCACGATTACAAATTTTGATAAGCAAATTAAAATTCCAAAATTTAAATCAAGTAGATGGGTACCGAAATTTTCTGGTAACTCATCAATCTCTATAGTTTTGTTCGAATGCCCTCCGTATGTCATTATGTCACGAAACGGTACTTTAGATGGTACAGAAATGATAATAATTAGGGAAACTTTAAAGAACGTACCATACCATTATGTACTACCACCAAATGATAACGAAGATGGTGGATTGTGGTTTACGAGTTCTAAATTGGTCGAGTCAGGAAAAAAAGACATGACGGTATGTTCAAGATGGCCGATTACCTCCATAAATAAAAGTTTGGATTATACGAAATCGACCAACCAAGCTTGTGTGACGTTTTTAGTAAAGAAACCCACTCTTCTACCTGACGCTTTTTTTATGTTTCAAACATTCGAATACCAAGTTTTTGTGTTAAGTTATTTTGTTTTAGGATTAACTCCTGTGATAGTAACCATTATCCAAAAAGTATTTAATGGTTTGTTTAATCAAAAAACTTTAGATGCTGGTCGTCATACAATGGATATGTTCAGAATCTTCACAGGTGGTTCTATAGTTTTTAAAAAGGTTTATATATTATTTTCTGCTAAAATTATTCTACTATTTTGGTTGGTGTTTTGTCTTCTACTTGCTACTTATTATTCAGCTGGAATTACTAGTACCTCAACCAAGCCTCGCGTGGTAAATGTTGTTAACACACTAGAGGACTTGGTTAAATATAAAATACGCTGGAAATTAAGTAACGATGATTTTCAAAGAGATATCTGTATAAAATGGAAAATCCCTTATTCGATGCTTTAGCCAAATTGTACGTCAAAGGTAAAAGAATTGAAGATCGCACATCAACTTCCGCCATATTTGTTAAAGTTATACAAAAAACGTTCGTTAATGATATAGATAATTTACCACAGGACGAGCAGAAATATTATAAAGCATTAACGGACTGTATCGGTATATACGAAGGGGTTTTCTTCTTAAAGAAAAATTCACCTTTGACCGAACTTTTTAACAGATCTATTACCCGCTTTGTCGAAAGTGGTATTGCAGAGTTTTTGTTGAGAGGATTTATTGCAAATATGGTCGGTGTGAGGGGGCACCGAACTTTTTTTACCAATTATGTCGATAACAGAATTTATTCGAATATTGGCATGTCGAAATTAGTGGGACCTATGGCTTTACTTGTTTCAGGATTGATGTTGAGTACTGTTATATTTTTGATAGAAATATTAACTTTTAGATTTCGAAAAACTAAGTGAATACCGTAGAGTTTTGTTTCAAAAATGTTAAAGTAGAACGAAAAATGCTGTCCAGTACCTCGACCTTTTCAAATGTACCTATTGTTAGAAATATCATTGTTCATATACTTTCACAGTAACACAGTAGGTATAGTAAACGCGTATATTTCGGCAATAATATCTATACTACAATTGAGTAAATGGTTGTTTGAAGGTATATACGAGTACCTAAGTGGTCATAAAATTATAATAAAACTACCCATCTTCGGCCCGTTTTCAACCAATAGGAGACGCTAAAATTAAGCTGTTATAATTAACCGAGCCAACAGATTCTCGTCGTACAGCGATGCCAGGCATAAAATATTTATGCTTCCAGCATATTTGCTCGGAGGGTACTAATCGCTAAACGTACACACAGTCGTTTAGCTGTAATAGAATTGAACGCATTACTTTTTTTTACTAATTGACAACTGCGTTTTCTGAGATGAACGTCGGCGGTGTCTTTGTGAATTATATATAGATATATTAATAATACTGATATTTAATTGTGGAATAGTAAAATTTATCCGTCTAGTTTTTTTTATACGCTATTTAATGCTATAATTTTCAGTTTCAGTTCTATTAAATTAGTCACAATAAATGTCAGATTTATTACTAGTGATTTTGCTAATACCATTAGATTATACGAGTGGTTTTATTATAACAGTGATATATTCCGATAATTGCTGTAGAATTCCAAAACCTAACACACCATAATCAAATGCACTTACTTCCAACGAAGACATCCCCAAACTGTTGTTTATTCTTACAATTCTTTCCGTTTAAAAATTTTGGCTTGGGCTTACAATGAGAAACAAAACATGGAGCATCAGGGTGGCGATATTCCCAAAGAGCCTGCCATATTTTTAGACCGTTTTCTAGTCGAAAATTTTGAAAATCTGATTCCTTAAGATTGTTGCAAATTGGGGCGAATAAGTAGACGAACAGCTAAAACAAAACAAAATAAGGTTGAACGAAGATCGAGGAATTTCTATAATATCGTATATTTTTATTAAGTTTGTCTTACTGTTATTGCCGGTATTGAAAATAGGTAATAAAATGGCGAGGCATGGTAAATTCCACTATCATAATCTTCATCTGCGCATTCTTCAACCGCATCCAATATTATCCAGTGAAGAGTATACATTAATTTTGTTTCTACAGCTCCCAAGCTTTGAATATTTCCATCTTTTATTCTAAAAAATATTGGTATGTTGAAACAATAATTATTTTTTCGTTGACTATAACTAGCCTAGAATATGTACTTACCTGTTGTAAAGAATAGAAGCCACTGCATGCATAACGTGAGGTAAAGAGGCTTGGATAAGTCGCCATCTTGGAATTGATTTAATTGCTTCACTTAAGTCTGGTTTTAGACCCGATTTAATATTTTGGACAAGAACTTTCTCAAAAGATTTGCAAGCTTCTTTTAATTCCTAAAAACCGAAAAAAAACATTAAATACATCGTATTATTTTATAAAAAGTGACTTGGCACCTCCTTTTAATGCCTTATTGATTGATGAATTGGGAGTAGTTACATAAATATTGAATGTCTTAAATAATTTATAATTCTTGTTAAGGAGGTCCTTTCGCCACACCTCTCGCCTCAAATGTTAAAAAAAAAGATTATGACTAAAATTAATTTTTTTCTAATAGTTGAAGTCCTTATTTATCTAATACTGAACTTTTAACTATACCTTACCTTGCAAATTTTTGAGATTTTTTTTTTAATGTGAGTATTTGTACAGTGCCTCACGAGAAAGTAAGTCCTCAACAACAATTCTCGAATTATACTATTATTTATTGATTGGACGGAGTAGAAAAAAACTAAAAATAAGGTTTTTGAAATATTTAGATTTTGTTTTATACAATAAAATATATATAGTAAACCGTGAAACTTATTGAGAAATTAATATTAAAAAATCACAAAAAATTTTCAAGTAACCTAGTTGAAAATTTTTTGTGATTTTTTAATAATAATTTCTCAATAAATTCCACGGTAACCTATATATTTTATTGTAAAAAACAAAACCTAAATATTTCAAAAACATTATTTTTAGTTTTTTTCTACTCCATCTAATCAATGAATAATAGTAAAATTAATTATAATTCGAAAATTGTTGTTGAAGTCTTACTTTCTCATAAGAAACTGTACAAACACACACATTTAAAAAAAAATTCTCAAAAATTTGCACGGTAAGGTATAGTTAAAAGTTCACTATTAGATAAATAAGGACATCTACTATTAGAAAAAAATTAATTTTAGTCATAATCTAATATTTTTTATTTAACATTGGTGGCGAAAGGACCTCCTTAAATGATTACTTATGCTGATTGAATAATTATGATTTATACTTTTTATTGTAAATAAACAAGTAAAAAAACGAATTTCGTATTGTTTTATTTGTATTTTAATTTACTCAATATTTCTTTACCTTCAGCAGTATAATTTCAATGTTTGATCAAAACAAGGAAAAGATAGAAACTTACATGATGTCCCGTACTGGCATTTTGACAAAACTATAAAAGAAAAATTTGCTAGAAAATTAATTAGGTATTTAATAAAAAAAATCAATTTTACCATACAAGCAGCCTCATGTAACTTGCCAAGTTTGGGTTTCACAAAAGGTCTGAAACAAATTAAAATTATCAAATTATACAAAAAAGTGAGGTTTATATCTAAAGTATGTTCATAGGGAATGAGTTAAAATTTGATAATAGGGTTCATCATTGAAGCGGGACAATTGAAACAATCTGTCATTCTATTAACATTTGGGTGAGGACGCTGAGGTTAATGATAAATTCTAAGTTTTCTAAGAGAAAATCCTAAGATGCATCATTGATGCACTTTGGTTTTACCGTTTTACCGAATCAATTATCTTCATAAAGACCTGAAGATGCCAAGGTTCGAAAAAGAAATAAATAGGTTTGCTGTGAAACATGAGTCAATTAGGTAGCGATGCAATTACTGGACAACAAAAAGCTCAAAACAAGCTACTCTTACTCGTGCAGTAAATGCGTTATTGTCAGTGTTGCCGTTGCTATTACAATTGTAACAAATCTATTACTAAAAAGTTACACCAGTACGTTATTACGACTTTTAAGAAAAGAGGAAAAATCTATTACCTTTTAAAATATCAAAATTTTATGAGTGGCTCCATTTAAACTTCTACCCCATACTTAAAAAAATTAGAAAGCTATGCATTTATTATTTCTGTGTTTTCTTGTTTCAATAAATCCAAGATATGAGTCACTTTATTATTATATTGTATTATTTTTTTTGTTATTGGTCAGTTTTTAGTTTAGTAGGAGATAACCACCAGCCTCCAGCATAATTTATATATTGTTTTTAATAATGTAGACCCCTTCAAGACTGAAGAAATACTAAATTACAAAAAATTACCCTTAGGTGAATTTTGGGCTAATATCTTTAAAATAAAAATTAAACACTGCATGAATCAAATTTTTAAAATAAAAAAAAAATAATTTGTGGTTTATTTTCATTACCCCATTCTTTTGCAGCAGCAGAAATAATTTGTCCAACGAAGCCGTCAGGCCGAGTTGGACAACACGTCGAGTGCAATAAACACTTTTTGTACGAGTTGCATACAATATTTTTTCTACATACATGCAAAAACCAAAAAATGTTTTATAGAACTGCAGTTGTATTATCCAAATCATAGTAGCCGTGATCGTGTACCTTTGTTTGAGGCATTTATTTACGTTTGTGTTCATAATTTGTAATGACATTTTTAATAAAATACATCTTTTTATTAATTTATTTATTATTAAATGATTGAAAATAATATAAAATATGCAATTGTTTTTAAAACGTAACACAGAAAATGAAAATGGACTAAATATTTGGCGTTGATTTGAATATTTATGTTTGTCATGATCATAAAACGCTGTAGTGAAATGACAGATGAGTGCAATAAAATTTTTATTGCACTAGTGCAATAAAGACCCAGTTTTTTCACTAAATATAGTTCAATAAAGTTTTGTTTTTGCATGAACGTAGAAAAATGTATTTAATAATAGTTCTGGTACATTTATGTTACTTTAAAATATTATCTATTACGATTTTATCTCCTTTTGGTTCAAAATTCTATTACGAAAAAATTAATTGGTGTGGCAACACTGGTTATTGTTACGAGGAATGTTCTCTTTCTGTTAAGCCTAGTAAAGTAAAACACAATTCATAAAAAAAATTTTTAATAATTTTATCATTTACAGTCAACACAATTCTTGACAAAATTTTCTGTAATCTTCTGGCCGTAGTTTGTTTCATTTTTGAAAGCACCAACCGCTTGTTCGACCGATGTAAAACGTAAGCTCCGTAATTTATTATTTACCCGCGGAAAAAAGAAAAGTCATTAGGTACTGGGTCTATACGGCGATTGAACAAATACACCTCGATAATGCTTCTTGTTCATTTCGATCACTGATTGGCGAAAGGATTACTTTAAACTCTACAATCAGGTATATTTGACAACAACTGTCACTAACTAATCTTGTAAACAACTACAACCATGGTGTAAGAATATAGGTGAAGCGGTGCGCAGGTTTTATGACGTCAACATCGGTATTGTCACGGCTGCCTACAAACTGCCATGGCTTTGTTTACATTTTGTAATGATTGTCAAGATGTTACTCTTTTATTTCCTAGTTCTATAATCATTGTAAAACTGAAAATATATATTTAGATGAAAATAACAACTGATAAATCATATCAAGTTATGCTCAATAATACAAGAAAATGCCAAGAAACACACTATAGGCATATCTTGGACCCTTGTGCAAAGAAATTCAAAATAAAAAATATTTTGTACTTTTTTTAGTTTAATCAGATGATATGCATTTTTCTTGAGGATAAACAAGTTATAGTTTTCATCTCAAACTAATTTCTTCCACCACAAAACATGAAGATGTTATAGGTACGTCTCGGATTTAAATCTTCATACCTAGCATCACTATCTGT